GCCCATTGGTTCCTTCCTATTTGGCCAAAGGTGGCTAAAAAATTTCTTCCTTAATCTAGTTATCCTGTCCATCCCACTTCCCGTTTTTTCAACCCACTTCTTATGCCCCAGTACAGTACAGTTCCCTTTGGGTTATTCCTTTCTCAAACATCTCCCTGCACTTTCTTTTTATTTTTCCAGTTCACCCATGTACACTTCCTTCTCTTTTTTAGGGGCGGGGGGGGGGGGGCGCAATGGTTGTGTCACTGCTGCGATGGGATTCCAGCCGATGGCGGGTGTAAGTTGTGTCTCGTCATTCCGCAATGGCTGGAGCAACACAGCGGACAAGGCATCGGCCTGGACGCACTTGTGTGTTGCAAACTTCTCGCAAAAATACAGGATTCGTGATTCGCCACACTGTTTTACGTGATGGCCTGTCTCTAGAGATGCTCATGCCGAAAAGCGCTCTAGCGGAGGATTCCCCACGGAGCACCTGGTTCTTGTATTTATTTCTCTCCAGACTCACTTTCTTAGCTGCCAGTTTCACAGGCGGTGGCGCGCACTGTTGCCCTGCCCGACGACGTTCGTCGTGCTTTGGCTGGCGCGATGAAACCGTTGAGAGGCCACACGTCTAGATCGAGGGCAGATTTTGTTTTTTTCATCGTTGAAGGGAGTACGCGGCAGCACCCATGTACCTCGAGATATATATACCACGGAGCCCCCATGGACCAAGCACGGCCAAACATTCACCCAACCTGGGCCTCTTTGGCCTACAAGCTCGGAATTTGCACAGCACCGGCACCCATCGGGCTTGTTTACCACCAACAGGTGCGTCGAAAAAGAAACGACGCGGAGGCGCTGACATGCCGTCAACAAATAAACGCGCAGGGTGTTGTCGCAAACTCGGGAACATCTTCACTAGGTACGCGACCCGGAAACGGGGCAAGTCTCGAAATAACCAACAGCGGCAGGGTCCTCCAATCCCTCCCGAATCTACGTGTTGCTCTACAAAGCACCACGTGTGGAGAAAGGATCCTATGACAGGGCTAAAACATCTGGCTTGCAACCGTCTCGCCGAATGGGTGTTACCAAAAAAATACTGTGCTACCTAAAACAAGCGTCGCCCGATGTGCACTGTACTGCATCCTTCCTCTCCCTCCGGCCCTCAGGGTTGCTATTCCGATGACGACGTGTGGGCTGCCATCATTATGCCTCGTCCACCTCTTCGCCAACGTCCCCCTCGTAGCACCCCCATGCCTTGTGACTCTCCCACAGCTTGATGCACAGAGTGCCGTGGAAGTCTTTGCCGCACTTGGCGGCGAGCTCGTCGAAAATCACCTGCCAAAAACAGGCATCGCGCCAACCAACAACGCAGTCAGCGCGGTCGGCGAGCCTCTTTTCGTTTGCGGTGGAAGTAAGGCGTCGGCATGTACCCGCATGGTGCCGAACCCAAGACGAGTCCTGCCAAAAATTTCGATCTGAGCAGTGCATCACTGCACCCGGGAGATGGCTTATTCCGTTACCAACTCTCTCGGGCAAATGCCAGATTGGGAAAGAGGTAGAAGCAAGCAGGCAAAGGCATTGCTTGAAATGGGTTTCGTGGTGGTAGCTTGGGCTCGAGGGAGTAGTGCAAGAAAAAACAGGTTGGAATCAAACGCTCAACGTCCTGCGACTCTGTGGGGTTCTCCGTGCAGATATCACAAAATGGACATCCAACCTTGTTTTCAGTGTCGATGAGTGCGGCTGCAGCGGGCCGACGGCTACACAATACGGTGAACATCAGCAATGACCGCTGATACTCCTGCTCTCCCTCAGTCATCTTCTTGGTCAACATATGCAGACTTCAACCAGCCGAGAAAAATGGCTGGCGAACGACTCGGCAAGAAGTAGTGTGAGAACGCACAACCGCTACCAAAAGCAGCAGCTACCCGCACCGACGTTTGATCTCTAGTCTCCACCGCGGTCCACCAACGGATCAATGGAGAAAACGGTTGCCAACCTAGGCGGTGTTTCGGTAGTAGAGCTGAACTTCGAACAACTCGGCAAAAAAGCAAACGCTCAGCCAGGTACAGTAGAGGTCCCTGTTTAAGGCCACCTAGTGTTAAGGGGGAAAACCGGCCGTAAACAGGGCACCCGGCCTTGTTGAAAAAAACCGCCCTTGTTTAAGGCCGATACAGGAATATGATTTCCTCAATAAGGCCGGATTGAGGAATCACAAGAGTGCTAGGGTGTAGTGCTGAAGGCCAGCAGGGGTGCACATCACACAATCACAGTGAGTGCCGCAGCGCCGCTTTGGGTGCGCACCACCTGGCATGTACATGAAGTAATGTCAAACGCACCACACAAATATGTTCGCATGTTCCCAAATGTCCTTTCCCGCCAATTTGTAGCTGATGTCCGCCAAATGCAAATGCCATCAAGTATCTCCCCCTTCATGCTGTAACTGGTCAAAAATGCTCTTTCTTGGCTAACCAACCTTACGGCAGAAGGAAACGCAGAGAACGAGATAAGTCCAAGCTTCCCCGTAAGCAATTTGTGAAGCAAATATTGAAGACGAGACAGTACGGGACGGCAACGAAACCACATAACGAAAAAATATCACTAGTGAAGGGTCGACAAAAATGCTGCATACGCGCTGATCTTGATCAGATTGAGAGGACTTCCACAAGAAAAACCTCCACCTACACACTCCAACAACATTTAAATTACATCTGTCGCGACAAGCACCAACTGAAATCTCTACCCGTCCAACGAAGAGGGCACACACAAGAAAACAAACAACACATTTACGCATGCGACGAATCCACCGACCTCTACTGTACGCTAAAGGGTGAAAGGTGCCGCTGTGTTGTGGCTGCAAATGCGGCCGAACCTGCGTGCGTCACTTCAAAACCGGCCTTATTCAGGGTGGGCGTAGGGTCCCGACAGGCCTTAAAGAGGGACTACCCCTGTTTAAGGCCTGTGCGGCCTTAAAAAAGGAAGGCGATTTGTTCAGGCGATTCCACCAGCCTTAAACAGAGCAACCGGCCGTAAATTTGTGGCCTTAAACAGGGACCTCTACTGTACAGCGATCGACCCTAGCCTCGCAAACTACGAACGAATGTCGTCTTTACCACCACCCCAACCCGTTGGCGAGGAACATGGTTACTTGTCGATCACCTGTTTCGGCATGCGTTTCGGGTGAACGTGGGCGGGCGTATGTATACCACGAAATCGGAGTTGTTGTCGCAATTAGATGAAATAATGAGTCTCGGAAATGTCATTCTGCCCCGGGACTCACCACACTTCAGCGTCAAGAGTCCTGCAAACGTGAAAAGCGCGTACGCCGCTGCGTCCACCACACTGCTGTCGAACGATACCACCACAAAATAAAATCTGGGGAGAGAAAAACCGACGCAGCAGCACGACCCTCGATTGCCACCCTTCAGTACCTTGCACATGAACTCGGTGGTTGTGTTTTGTCCGGGGAAGATCTCGTTGAGGTTCTTGAAGTTGTACTTGGACAGCACCGCAGCGAGCATCTCCGAGGCGGCGCCTATGTCCACGACCCAGTTGGACTTTTCCACGAGGGCGTCCGTCTTGAACTCGGCATCGACCGTGTACGTCGCCCCATGCATCTGAACGGGAGTCCCGAGGTTTGCGAGATGCACACGATGCCGCCAGTCATGTCTTCTCTCATGGTGACATGTTTCGAAACGTGAAACGTGGTACACAGCAGTAGCCTGCAGCCAGCCGTAGCTGACAAGGACTTCGCATTGCGAGGGGACTCCTGAGTGTGTTTGGCTCAGTCGGTGTACAGCATCGGGCAATGTCGAGAGAGAAATAGAGGGAGATTGCGATCCGCCTCTCCAACAAGAGGTTGGTTCCTTTGACATGCGAAGGATAACAGACCTGGGATGACAGGTGGGCAATCAGCTATGTACCCCAGCGGCCCAAGCCTCATCGTCTCCTGTTGGAGGCCGCACCCGCGTGCTCGTACAGCAGCCCACCCCCCAATTCCTCTTGGGTGGCGGTAGGTCAGCAAAATAGTCTGCGCTTTGGGGGAACAAACACACCTCTTGGGCAGGCCCGAACTGCGGTCCCTCAAAGCTGTGAGCGATCATGATCGAGTCTCGGATGCCCAAGGAGTATCCCTTGTGGCCGCCTCCGCCTCCTGCCGTCGGGTTGTGGGCAGACGTGAGCACCGCCATCAAACACACCCACACCATCGCCAACAGCCTCATCATCGTCACTATCTCTGTCGATCTCTCTCTCTCTCTGCTGGTAGGTGTATGTCATGGACGATGTGCCCTTACCTTCACCGAGAAGCGCCCTTTTCGCCTTTTTGGGAGTTCGATTGGTTCCGAATGCCTCGTCGGCGGGACTGTCCGCGATTCCGACAGTGCCGCAGCCCGCCATTGTTGCGATTGCGACGTTGCGACACCGGCACAGCTCAGCGATCATCCTGTCGTCCTGCTGTCGTCTCGTCTCGAGTAATCGCTCTCCACCGCCGTCCCATTTGATTCGAGTCGATCTGTTGAGCGCAACCTCTTCTCGCGTTCTCGGCTCACGCACGAAGAAGTGAGTTCATCGCAGGTGTGCAGTGCGCCAAAATGGGAAAGTAGGCGCCTTGTGCGCTCAGCCGTCAGGCGGTCTCTCTCCACCACAGTGAGCTGGCGCACTGTGTGCGCAGCGTACCCTCTCTGTTCTGTTCGCGCGGAGGAGTTGAAATCAGCCGCAACACCAGCGCTACCACCGTGGATGACACAGCATGTGCGTACAGCAGTAGTCCTACTGCTGCTGCAGTAATGTACAATGCAAGCTCGTTTTCGTCTGTCAAGAATCGCCGCTGCAGGCGGCTACAGCAAAACAGGGGCTCCACTCTTTGCCTCTCACAGCAGTTCTGATACTCACCCGTGTTTCGTCACATTCTTGCTGCAGGCGGCCTAGAGGACGCAAGCTAGATCACCCCAGCCGCCGCGTCTTTCTCTCCGTCCGCCCCGGCGAACTCCACCCACAACGACACGCAAAAACATGGAGGAGCTGTTCGAGCAGCTCCAGGATGACACCCGGTCGTTTTGGCAACACCCTTCCTCGGGGGTACGGCGCCTGGACACGATGCCCCCACCCGCCGATTTTTTCCGAGACTACGTTGCCACGAGCACCCCCGTAATCCTATCTGGAGGAGGTTGCTTCAAGGGGGGCGGGGGGAGGAGCTGCTGGGATGACCTCGCTTCGTTGGCCGGAAGGGATTCGGAAGGGCTCGAAGTTACCGTGGACTTCACGCCCGACGGCAGAGGGGACTGCGTCGTGGATGTTGCCGACAGCATGCTGAGCGAACTTCCGACAAGCGACGCCAACGCCATGCACGACAGCGCTACCGGGGGTCGCGTTGCAGGAGCGGAGGGCAGTCGTAGGAGCTGCGGGACAGGTGATGCGGTGAACGTCGGTTCGGCGGCAGCCGCACGTACCACCGCGGTGTTTGTCAAGCCCGAGGAGAGAAGGATGAAGTTCGAGGCCTTCGTCAGCACGCTCTTGACGGAGGCGGCGGCAAGGGCCAGTGACGAGAGCAGCAGCACCCGCGGGTGCACCAGCGGTGGTGCTGGGAAGGGGGTGCCCTACTTGTCGCATCAGGTATGCTACGCTTACGACGTTGAACTTGTACTCAGTGAGACGATTGTACAACTGTGTCGTGTTCTCGCTAACTCACGGCAGAGGGTCTGTCGGGAGGCCGATAATTTTCGACACCGCCATGCTCTGTGTTCGCACCACAGCAGTATTGGCCGATTGCATCACAACGAAAACGAATGCTCGACTCTTCGCACAAAAAATCATGTTTAGGCCAGGTACGTTTAGCCATCGATCTGCTTGAGGGCTCGGTTTTCAGTTTCAGTCGTCCTCTTTCCACGTCCTAGAGGTAGCTCACGCGTCTCTACTTTTAACCCTGAGCCCAGGCTTGTCACATCAAGCCTTCGCACGCGATCAACCTCCGCCGCCATAGCTCCACTCGGTTCCTGCCGTCGACACCGGCTTCAAACAAGAGCCATGCCGTCAATCCCGGCTTCAAAACAGCGCCGAATAAACCCGTGCACTCATGCCACCCGTCACTGATGATCCTTTCTACGACTTCACCCACCGAGCAGAACGACAGCCTCCGACAAGAGTTCCCGGGCCTCATGGAAGACGTGGAGCCCTTCCTTGCCCTGGCGAGGGAGGCCTTCGGGAACGAGCCGGACGCCGTGAACCTCTGGATAGGGGACGATCGCTCGCTGTCCGCCGTGCACAAGGACCACTACGAGGTGAGGTTAGGTCTCTCCTGACGGGATCGTCGGGGAATGAAAAAAAAAGGAGGGGGTTGGCAACCGCCTCTCAAAAGCTACACGCTGCCCCGTGTTCTGTGCTCTGTGTGCTGTGTCCTGTGTGCTGTGTCCTGTGTGTTTTGTCCTATTTTTGTGCTTTGGCTTGTGTGGTTTGTCCTGTGTGCAATGTGCCTTGTCTTGTGTGTCGTGTCCTGTGTGCTGCGTGCTGTGTGCTTGCGGTTGTCAGTGGTTGCCGTCGCACCGCCACTGCGTCGCGCTAAGCTGTCGGTGTGGCAGGCTCCCAGGGCCTGGCAGCAGCCAGGTATCCACATGTCTATTTTTTGCGTGGCGTGATGTTGTCTTTTATCCTCGAGAGTGCTGCACTTGCCGTAGAAGGTTGGCGTGCCGCGACTTTTGAGCAGCGACGCCGTCAGTGCATCCCCGACCGTCTGCGTGTTTGTTCCATATTTCCCTGGGCCTAGTCGACGTCGCAGCAGCAGTGCAAGGGTATCAGACCGGAAATTTCGCGTCCACCGACGTTCGCAGCGCCCATGCGTCCCCAGTGTGACCCACTGACCACGGCTTGATTTCGGACCTGCAGCTTCGGCGGTACGCACAAGTAGTCGGTCATTTCCGAGCCATTCCGCAGGTTGCGTCAGGCGCCGGAGCCCTCCATTGGTACCCCAAGAAGCTCGTCTTTTGCGCTCCCCCCCTTTCCTTGTTTGTCCGACGTGCCGCCCTCCAAACCTCCCACCTTCCTCCGGCCCAAACCCCCGCATTGCTTGCAGAATATGTACTGCGTCGTCCGAGGAGAGAAGCACTTCACGCTTCTTCCACCGTCCGACGTGCTGTTCCTGTACGAGCAAGAGTACCCGCAGGGGAGGTATCGACAGAGAAGGAGCGTCGACGGTGGAGAGGGAGAGGGGCGGGGGGGGGAATTCGAGGTGGAGATGGAGGAAGGGAAGGTGCCGTGGATCCCTGTCGGTGAGTACTTTGGTGATTTTCCCGGTGAGATTGTTTGGACTTGATCGGGTACACCTCGCCGGTATTGAGTGGCAGTGCATGAGAGCTGTCGTGCGAAAGTGTGGCGTGATGTTTGGGGAGAGTGTAGGCAAGACCTCTGTCATGGCCTTGTTTTTGATTGGAGTGTACATGAGGCCACGGCGAGCGCGACGAAGACGATCAGCAGCGCCGTACCGTCATGTACACCACCAGCAGGAGCTCGTTCGAACACATGCCCACTGCAATGCTGTTATTGGTGATGGGGGCTATGTTTCCGCCGACTTGTTGGGAGCATCTTCTCAGTTCGCGAAACGCAACCAACGTTTTCGCCGAGAGGTGTGCGTCATGTGTAACCGGTGGTGAAGCCGCCTGCGCTGGTAGATTTTCGTGCATCCCTCGCGGTGCGACCTGCCTCCAACTCGATGCCTACCGACTTGCTTGCCACAACCCGCACTGCTGTGTACGGAATGCGCACACACGCAAGGCGGACGGACTGACTTTTAGCCCCACCCGCCATCGGTGATCGTTCCAGCGGGAACAGTGCTCGGTCCTCTGGAGAACGCGTGGTCAATGGTCTAACCGCTAAGGCATCCGAAACATGAGAGTACGCCCCCCCCCCCCCGCCGCAACCGAACCCTATGTTCCTTTCCTCTGCCGTCAGATCCCGCGTGCCCCGATCTGGAAAAGTATCCGCTATTTCGCTTCGCCTCTCCGGTCCACTGCCGCGTAGGCCCAGGGGTGAGAAGTCGTTGTGCTTGCGCGTTGTTGCAGGAAGGAGGGTTAGGCTCCCCGACTATTAAGACAGCGGGCAGCGTGAAGAGACCGGGTAGGCAAGATGGGTCCGATGGGGTCTTGAGAAATGTCCCCTCGACTCTTGACAATCTCGAGGGTGTCTGCGTGAAGGAGTCGGAGCATTTTTTGTTGTTGTTGTCTTTGACGAGTCTCAACGGATTATTCCCGGCCCATGTCTAGTGCCCACGGGGAGCTCGAAGCTGACCCGTCGGCAGTGATGCACGTTCTTGTGCGGAAGCACTTAATAAAGTATGGATTGTTTGCCGGCTCAGCTGTCCGTGCGCTATGCCGGCTGAACCTATCACGGTGAGGATTTCGATGTCGACACATGACTCTCTGCTCACCACTTTACTTTTGGCAAGCACATGTTCGAAGCGTTACACACGGCACGAAAATGACCGCGGTTCGGCTTGTTCACCGGACTCACTTGTTTTTGGCAGGATATGGTACCTATGCATATCTGCAACGGCCTTTTTTTTGTCCGAAGCTGAAAACGTGCCTCGGCTTTTTCTGTTTGTTTTGTTTTTCTTGCACCTTGGCCGAACCCAGGACATCCTGTACTTGCCGTCCCTCTGGTACCACCGAGTCTCGCAAAGGGGAATCACCGTCGCCGTCAACTACTGGCACGACATGCAGTTCGACCACAAGTACGTTCACTACCGATTCCTGCAAACCTTGGCGGGGAAGCTTCGAGAAGGTGTCGTTCGGCGGCCGGGGGGCGCGGGCTGCGACGGGAGCTCCGGACGACCGAGTGAAAGCCCGGAGGCACGGGTGGAGCAAGGTGTCTCGGTAGGAGGGGGGGAAGAAGAAAGAGTTGAGGAAGATAGATGACAGGCGGCGGTGGTTGGGGGGTGACGTGGGGATAGATTATTGTTGCGAGAACACGGTGTCGTAGGAGGAGCTGTTGGTGCCCGGAAAATGGCAACCTGAGTACCTTGGAGGGAAAAAGAGCTGGCCTGGCCTACGCTGTGTGCAAGATGGGTATGCGTGCTTTCAGTCGTGTGCGCTATTACGTAGCCTCGGAGATTTTCGCGAGAACATGCAAGGCAGGCACCGGTTCAAGTTGTTTTTTCCGCTCAAAAGCTTCCCCGCAGGAACAGATGCGTTAGCACGGCAAGCTTGTGGGTAGCGGCGGTGGGACTTGTTGGATCCGTGCCGTGTCTTGATCGAGAAGGTTAGCCTATGTGAGCTTGTGGTGAAAATTTGCACGCATTTCTGCGAGCACCTTGATTGGCCACTCACTAGCTGTATGAATTCTACAATATCTCGACAAATAAGGAATATTAAATACACACACAGAAAGACTACCCATTCGAGATACACCCACAGTCGAACGGGATGTGGTGGAGTGTTTTCAGTGAGTGGAGGAAAACCGGCTGGGTCTGGACTTATTTCGAGTCTTTTTAAGTCTATATTGTACACTGATGATTTATATCAGTGATGCCAGCTGGTGCTAAGTACAAAAACATCTGTATAGGTAACTTACATTTTACAATACATCCCCTGTAGAATTACTACATGACGATTTTACTCGATTTTACTACAGCGATGCATGTGAGCTGGAGATATCGATCTTTCGTTGGCTGGACGCTTTGTGTCGCTGATGATGGGGAGAGCTACGAGCATGACGGTATGCCTTCAATGGAGAAGGGTCTCACTATTAGACTACTTGTGATGCTGATGACTGACGATGTACCTTTTTTAATATTGATGGATTAATAATTTTCCGTCGTTCAATAATGTATTTTCGTTGTCTATTTTTTGAAGTCTACTTTGACTAGGAGTATCATTGTCCGCCAGGCAATTGTTGTTTTCCCTTTTATGCCGAGAACGATACTACTGCTGTAATGCGAGGGGAAGAACGTATGTATGCATACCTAGTGACGTCAGAGCGTAGGAGAAGAAGACGATCTTTCCCTTATTTTCACTTCAAGTTATTTATGAGGTGTATACAAAGGGAAAAAAAGGCATAATAAGTGTAGTATATTTTTTTATTGACGTTTGAGGGTGGTGGCGGTATCCGACCAATAATAATATGAAAATATTACCCACACCCACCAAACACATTAGATATGTTATTCAAATTGAAGTATTTCGCTAATACGTCAGAAACATTGTTTCTATGGAAGACGCCAAGAATCACTCTGCTTCAGAGTTACTCCAATCACATCCTGGCCGGTAACGGCTGTATTTTGGACGAAGAAGCCACCAATAGGATTCTCCAAAACGACATTTTTGGTGCCAACTTTAGTATTTTGCACAGTTTTTTTCGGACTTTTCGAAAAAAAAAAAAAACGTCCCTCGGAGAGAGGAGGAGAGAGCGGGGCCGTATATATAAGTCCGCCATTACAGCTGTGCATTCTTTGTGTGTGTTGAGGGTTGCTGTAGCACGCGGTACACTAGTGTGCGATAGAAAGCGGCGAGGGAATGCGCGCGAGTCGTAGTCGTGCTGCGGGGACAGCACGGCCGGCGCGTTCTTCTGCTGCTGCTCCCGCCGCCGCCGGCGGTACGGATGGGACTGGTGATGATGACCATCAGGGGGTAAGGAAAGCCGGCGGCACAGATAAGGTTTGCGGGTGGGAGGAGGCACCCACGGCATCAATAGCAGCGGTAGCCGCGGCAGCGGCGGCGGCGGCGGGGACGTCCACTGGCTCCACCAAGCGCGGCAGCGGCAGCGACGCCGTTGGCGAGGCGCGCGGCGGCGTCGCTGCTGGGAGAAGGAAGCGGAAGACATCATCATCATCACCAGCGGCCAGGCAGCCAGCAGCACCTGGAAACAACAGCAGTAACGACAAGAGCGAGGAGGACATCAGCGAGCCAGAAGAAGACGGGCAGGCGGACGAGGGTGGCAACGACGGCGATGATGACGATGATGAGGAGATGGAAGATGCCGTCGTCACGGAGGCGAGGCGAGGGCCGGCTCGCAAGGGGAGGACACGGCCGGCCGCCGCTCGTGGCAAGGCGGCGCCGACGAGGGCAAGCTCTCGCGCGAGGGCCGCCGTCAAGTACGCCGAGAACGAAGACGATGACGACAACGAGGTGCGAAGCAGCAGCATTAGGGGAAGGAAGTGACCTACTCCACCAAGCTGCTCATGTGTATGTGTGTGTGCCTCGCAGCTCTCCTAGTGGTAGTAGTACTGCCGATGATATGATCCAGCTTTGAAAAATTCTCGCCAGCATTGGAAATTTCGAATGAACCGTACAATATGGTCCTCCGCGCGCTTCGTTTGGCGTTGGGGTGGTGGTTGTGATGCTGCTGCTGATGCTGCTGTTTGTTCCAAACCGGGGGGAGCAGCTGCTGGAGGCAGACGAGGAGGAAGAGGACGACGGGGGCTCTGGGAGGAGGTCATCTCGGGGCAAGAAGCCCAAGAGGAAGAAGAAGGGAGTTGCTGCTGCCGCCGCTGCGGAGGTGTGTGTTGATCTTTGCTCCTTGTTTTTAACGTGAGAGGATGTACACAGCAGCACACACCCTCTTGTCCTATGCCATGCTGGCAAGGGGAGATCCTCTTTTCACCGCCCTACTGTACTCACCTCAATGAAAACACAGTTACTGAGTGCCGGGCGCTCTGTACATACGCTCATCGCTCATCAGATCCACTGCTGTTGTGCACAAAACACTGAGAACGCGCGGCTCTGATTTTGATTTTTTTTTTTTTGTGACGTCCGTTCACGGCGATGATGCCCTCGCGCGCACGTGGTGCAACGAAGATTTTGAACCCTCTTTTTTTCGTTGTGGAGTGTGTTCGCCAACCATGCGCGTCTTGCGACCGATCATGGAATCTCACCGGCGCGCACACGTAGTCGCGTGTCCACACGTCCACACCAAAGAACTGCGTGTCATGTGTGTGTGTATTTATATAACATCCAGACTATTGTACGCACAAAATGTGGCGTTTTGAATTTGAATTCCTCGTGCGTGCGGGGCATCTTTTTGCATCCCCAAGACACTCGTGAACCCAAGTGAGGCACACCTTTGCCAAGTAATTAGTACAGACACAAACGCTCGCGGTAGGAGGAGTGTACAGCAGCAGGACAGCGGCAGTTCGGTTGTCCTTTAGGGATCCCGTTTTCTGTGTCCCCGTACATTGCGACGTGCTGCAGTAGACTATGTTCTGTTGGTATGTATCTACGTATTATAGGATGTTGTGTACAAGTCCACGCACCAGAAGTGCAGAAAACCACAGGGTCATGTCCTGGCGAGGCACGACGACGTTTAGCACCAAGGAGGAGGAATTTTTGTCCGCTGCTGCTGCGTATGGCAACGCGCGCGTACAAGGCTATATCCGTAGGTAGCGTGGATCCTTGGTCTCGTATGCATATTACATCGAATACGTTTATTGGAGCACACCCAACACAACAAGAGAGGCGATTTGTTCACATCTGGGGCCGTTGCCTTTTGGTGGCGAGTTTTTGTCGCCACACCACCCCCGGAGACAAGGAGCTCCAAGCACGCGGGGTGGGCGACTCGATGCACATACAAGTGCTACTCTCACCCGTAACACATGCTACGTAACCGCAGTACCCATCAATATATGCTTCAGTATAAAATTGCTCAAGTTGGCGTACACTTTAGTACAGTATTCAATTCAAATCCATCCGTGGACAACTTTTTTTTTGTGTCTGCTGTACCATCGAACGGAAAGGCGTGGATAAGAGGGAGGGAGGTGGAAGCCTTGTGCGTGAAACGTGGCTCCTGACTTGACGCCAAAATTGAAGCAGATGCAGGGCGGGCGGAGCCCTATCACGTACTATTTGCTCTACGTATCATTCGATTTGCAGAAAAGAAACATGATCTGCTGTGTTGTGTAGTGCTACGCTGTTGCTGTGTATGCCGAAGTTTACCGTAAGGTTATCGCGCCGAGGGCTACAGCAAGTTATCTGAAAGCATCCCCCAGCACCCGTCTTCCAACCCCCCTCGTATGTCAGTTTCTGAGTGGATACCCCATCTTCTTCTTGACGCTTGCACCTTGATTAGTATTGAAATATTGCTCGAATTTGTGGTAAATGTGTCACCCTCTTACTTATTTAGTCAATAAATTGGTGTACTGCCGGTCCATCGCAGGGCAAGGGCGGCAAAAACGGTCTTCTGAACAAGTTTGGCTTCCAGCCGGACGCGGACGCCGCCCAGGCTAACGTTGACTGGGAGTACGAGGTGGGTTGTTGTTGGTATTAATGACGGCAACCGGCTGTATTGGTCATGTTCTACATTTAGGTCAAGATACGTATTAAATGGTTGCCGCGGTCAGACTTGCTTCGCCCCAACCGTCTTGGGTAGCTGCTTTCTAGGTAGGGGAGAGAGCGGCACCAAGCACAACAACGACAACGGACCTAAGGCAGAGAGCAGTACCAAGCACGACAATGACAGACGGGTGTTATAGTCCTTTCCCTGAATCTCACGTGCGTGATGGATGCTCCAAAAAGAAGACGCGTTTCTTTCTTTTGGGTGTTTGGTTCCCGTTCTTCTCGGTGGAGGTCACCTTTGCGTGCCCCCCCTCCCGACACAACTCCCACGCCCCATCTAGGTTTCAGTAGTATACATACAATCCTCGCTAAGTCTCTGTCATCATTCTGTCTTGTTTCACCCTGTGCACGAACGGCTCGATTTCCTTCACGACCTTTTATATTTAAACGCCCACATGGTGAAAGAGTAAAAGGGACCAATCGGCTTGTGTCCCTTGTCTCTTTGCAAGCATCGAAGCATGTGTAGGTTCCACTGGTCCATGTTTGTCAACCGTAAATCCACGCGTCGTGCTGATGTTGGTGTCTCGCGTGCCTCTGTGACTGACGCCGATGCTGCCCTGCCTGCCTTCCCACCCCATGTGCTTCTTTAAAAAAATGCGACAACGCGACGAGAAGGGCCCGGGGGGAAGAGCCTCGTCCGAAAAGGGCACCAATGGCAAGGGGAAGAAGAAGCAGAACTCCGGGTCCAAGAAGCGATCCAAGCCCGAGGGTGGCACCAGCACCGGTACGAAGCAGTAGTCTACGCAGGTTTTTCCAAGTATGTAGACACACATACTTTGGCTAGGTTGGGGTGAGGGTGATAGGGTCGGGTGTGCGTGCCCTCTCCCTGGTCTTTTTTCGTGTTACATTAACCTTACTTGCTTTGCGTAGGATTGGTCACAGGATCCTGGTAATGGGTGGGTATAAAACAGATCCCGTTCGCACGCCCGTCTGGCTTATGGAGGGGTTGGTGTGTGCTGACGGCCACGGAACTTTGGTGCACGGTACCTCTAAGTAGGGCTATTCCGCCGCAAGGCTATGTGGCCGGAAGTGTTTGGGACCGGGCAGAGGAAAAGGGGAGATAGACAGCAGATCAAGCAGCACACGTGGGGTGTTTCCTTCTGCATGGCATATCGCCACCACCACCACCACAAAAGAAACGAGAAATTGGCACGGTGTGCCTGCTTTTCGGGCGCCCTTTCGTCGTCTCTACGGCAGTGAGCCGTACAGTGCAGTGGTAGCCGCATCCACTCTCGTCCGTGAAACTTATTCGGGAGCTAGCTGTATGTTGTGTCATAGCAGTTCAGCATTAAGGGGCATGCCCCCCCCCCCCCCAGCTCAACACGCTCGCTGGTTCCGTTCGTACAACAGCAGTGATTTGGCTTTCCCTTTGAACAACCCGCTCCCGCCGCCGCCGCCGCCGCCGCTGTGGCCGCGCCCCCGCTCCGCTCTAGGCATGCTGGCGCTGCGCATCCTTTGTGGTGAATGCCTACCCTCTCTCGGTTGGTGGTTTCTTGTTTCCACTCCCCCCCCCTTCGACCGTTCGCCGGCTGCTTCGCCCCTCCCCCCCCCACCCCTATGTTTCCTCTCCGCAGGGACACCTCTAAAAGATCGTAAATCGGAGCGAAGGAGCGGGCGGAGCAGGGGGGGTAAGAGCCTCTCGTACGCGGAGCCCCCTTCCGACTTGTCGGACGACGAGGACGGAGACGGAGGGAGCAAGCGGGGCGAGGATGGGGATGGGGAAGGGGATAGCTCGGGTAACGAGGATAGCGAGGAGGACTTTGAGGTGAGGGGCATTTTGGACACGGTTGATTTCCCAAACTTTCTATGTATAAAAAAAAATAATATTGGAAGTGGTCCAAATATTGTTTTTTTTCAAGAAGTTGTAAGTGAGTAGGGCCCCGAGAATTTTGCAATGCTACATAGCAAAGTTTCCATTTTTTTTGCCTTCGTATTCGCTTCGCAAGTTCCCGAATTTGGAAACATTCCAAACGTTTGGAACAAAGGCGCTCTGGTTACAACGCTTCTAGGGCGAAAGAGAAAGGAGTCGGTCGGTGCTCGGTGGAGAAACTTAGCGTGGGCGCCGCGCACCTGGAATCAGTTCAGGGTGGGGAAGCTTCCTTTGGATACCTGCAGTGTCTAAGATTGGTCAGTAGGTATTCTGTCAAGCAAACTGGCGTGGGGAAGCTGCCTTTGGTTACCTGCAGTGTCTTAAGATTGGTCAGTAGGTATTCTGTCAAGCAAACTGGCGTGCAACTGCTGTGCCGTCACCAAGGCCACTCGGAGGGTTTTCTCCGCGCGCAGACAATGTACGCGTAGCTCAGACTGACTTTTTGGTGTCGATCAGAGAATAGCAGGTAGTGCTCTTGGCTTGATGCAGTACGACGTACGACAGTTCGAGATGATTTTCGGGCAGGGTGTTGGAAAGAAGAGTCAGCAACGCCGCCCCCCACCCCCACTGAATGAATCGGTGAGAAACTTGCTATTATATAGTTTGTTCGAAGGCCGTACGTTGTGTTGACATTTTTGTTGTTGATTTGACAGGACTCAGACAATATCCTCGCACCTCGCGCTTACACGAGCAATCCGAACTTTTGATTGAGTCCGAGAGAGAGAAAGAGAGAGAAAGCCAACGGGTGGGGCTCCTGCAAGCTCTCATACCCATCCACGGAACAAAATATCGTTACAACCCCCGTCGATTCATCCTTGGTTCTATCGCGTGACTAGGAAGGCTCGTTGTTTTTCTCGATTGAGTTTGTACGGAACCGTGGGGTCGAGCACTGAACAACCAACTACCCTGACGACAACAATTATTGCACAACAACAAATGACGATGAAACAAAATCGATTTTGCAATAGGACGATTCCGCGAAGAACAAGAAGAGAAGGAAGCGGACAACGAATGGCAAGGGTTCTGCTGCTGCTGCTGCTGCTTCCGCCGCCGCGCCGAAGAAGGGCAACGGCAGCGGTCGAAGGGGGGGGAAGAAGAAGCCGGTTGGCCGCATCACCTTGCTGTCCAAGGTGTGTTGATGTGCTCGCCCTGCTGCTGCTGCGGTTGTGCCCAATGGCGTCGTGTTGGGGCTCTTCATCTTTTAGAACCCCGGGGGGCTCTGTAGCGACCCAAGCTCAAGGGTTAGGTGCTAAGAATTTAGCGGACTCACAGGGACCCAGAGTGTCTGGGCAGGGCAGTATTGAGCTCGAGCTGTGTTTTTGTGCTTTCTTGTTGCGTGTTTGTTCTGATGGGTAGATTTTTTTTTTGTCCTTTTGTGCTTGTTGGACTTTCTTGTGATGCCTGGCGGACGGCAATGGCGACCAAGTTGGCCTTTCATGTGCTTGGCTCAGCTCATGAGCCGCAATGGCGCTGTTTGACGTGTGAATCTGGAGTTGCGCGTATGCTCACGCGTGTGGTGGCCCACCGCACGTGTTTAGTGGCGTGCTCACGAAGAGTGATACTATAATAAGAGGATGCCTTGTCGTTGCTGTTGTTGTTGTTGTTGTGATCTGTGTGCCGGTTGAAAATTTCAGCCGGTGGCGGAACCGTCCCGTAGAAGTTCGCGGGAAAAACCCGCGGTCGTCTACGACGAGAACGCCATGGACGTCGACCGCCTTCTGGAGGAAGAGGAGGAGGCGGAGAGAGAGGGGGGGGGGAAGAAGAAGACCACGAAGAGGAAGCAGGTGCGACCCGATGCGAGACGTACACAGCAGGGTGATTCTTAGTGGTGTTGTCGGTGTTGATGGAGATGGTGCGGTGTGGCTATCTCGGGTGGTCAAACTCCAACGGTGCTCTACGTGAAATTTGTCAACAGAATACCTAGCGGCAGACATTTGAGGAGAAGTAGCAGTAGAAATGCCGTTCACCCCCCGCTCGTAGCTGACGTTTTGGTCTCGTTGTTGCTGTTGTTGACATTGTTGTTGTTCTCGTTGACATTGATGTTGTCGTTGTTCACGCTGCTGCTGCTGCTGCTGCTGCTGCTCCGCCGCATAGGCGGGTTCGGACTCCGAATCGGACAACGACCAAGGAAAAAAGAAAGGAGGCCGAAAGGGCCGCCGCGCTGTCGTAGACATCTCCGATGACGAAGCCAGCGGCGGGGACGACGACGTGCCTGAAGGCACCGGCGGAAGCGATGACGACGCCATCGCGGTCGTGAGGGTCGTCGGTGGCAGCAGCAGCAGCAGCAGCGGCAGCGGCGGCGGCAACAGCGGCGGGAAAGACAACGGCAAGAGAAAGAAGAGGTCCTCTAGCGTGAAGGCCGCGGCGGAGAGGAAGAGGAGCAGGGAGGAGGAGAGGAAAAATAGCAAGGCGAAGAAGAAGAACGGCGGCAGCGGTAAGAACAAGGCCAAGAGATCCTCAGCCGGGTCGTCGGCTTCGTCGAACACGGGAGCAGACGAGGATGATGAGCAGTCGGAGCTGGACGGGGAAGGGGGCGGCGACGACGACGACGAGGAGGAGGAGGAGGAGGAGGAGGCGGCCCCGGAAGCCAATGCCGCCGCTGGTCGCTCTGCCAGGAGAGATCGCCGCAAGAATATGACCGGCAGCGGGGGAGGTGGTGAGTTCGGGGCGTGAAGTCGTGGGTCGAAGTCTTGCTGTGTGGTGTGGTGTGTTAGTTGCCGTCGAGATGCTCTCCCGTCGGCACTGTAGCGATAGTAATGTTGTGGTGTGCCCACGTGTTACAAGAGGGGGGGGGTTCTGGCGCCACGGGTAAAGTCTTCGGGGCCGGTCGAGGGCGGCGAGATTGCGACTGGCGGCTCCGTTTCGAAGCATGACCTTTTGATGTGATGAAAAGGACATGATGGGAGGTGGAACGGAAAGGGCACTCAGACACGGCAGGTGATGAAGAAGGTCAGCTGCTTTTGATGCGATGAAGAAAACATGGGAGTTGAAACGGAAAGGGCACTCAGGCACAGCAGCTGATAAAGAAAGGGCAGCTGCCGTGTTTGTTGTCTGGTTCAGGGGGGGTTAGGCTATCTCCGACTGAGGAGAGGGTCTGGCGTGGAGTTGGGTTTGTGAGCACGAGGAAAAGATAAGAGGTTGTGTCGTTCTGGGTGCATACGACGCGAGAAAAGAGAAGGGCTGCAGCATCGGCAGGCAACGTGCAGATAAGCAGGATCTGAATACACCTGCCGTAGCGTCGCTCGAGCGCCCCGTTTCGCTGCTTTTCCCTCCCAGTCTGCCGAGCCTTTTGTTTTCGTCGCGTTGGTCTATCTTGCCGGTATTTCCACTGCTTCGCTCCATCGTTAGTTTGAGCTATCTTGCCTCTATAAACCACCGCTTCGCTTTGTCCCTGCTGGTGTGGCTGCTCGCAGACGATGACGATGACGATAGCGCTAGCGCGGCGTCGGTGATGACTACGGAGGGAGAGCGAGACGAGAACTACGCCAACAGCAGCAGCGAGCGGGATGATGACGACAGCGAGAGCGAGGAGGAGGAGGAGGAGGAGGAGGAGGAGGAGGAGAAGCCTCTCAAGCCCGCCAAGATTCTGGCCAGGAAGACTCTCAAGCCGGCAGAGTGGCGAGAGATGTGCAAGGACATGAGCACGGACCAGGTGATGAGAGTTATCGCCACAGCCGGCAGGTTTTGGCATGCCAGTGTGGGAGCGGGGGCGGGGAGGGGGTGCTCATTTTATTTGCGTGCCTTGTGGCGGTTAGGCCATTGGCTACGCGGCCTCTAGAGGACGGAGAATGGAGGGGGGGCGCTCCCGTTGTTTGTCTTTTTGATCGGTTGTGTTGTTGTTGCTGCGTCCTCTGTAAATGTCGTTCTGACTGGTATCCCTGTACCTCTCTTCCTCACTGCTCTTGCAGACCGAACCAAAATAAAGCATGCATCGATTCAAACTGAAATCGAGTCCCATAAATCAAGGCACTTTTTTTTATTGCCCAGTAACCTCTTCCTCAACCCTCTTGAAAGCCCAAAATAAACCAAACATGCATACTTGAAATCGACTCAAAACAAGTCATGGTACAGGTTTTTGCTTCCCAGGGACGTCCTCTTCGTCGACGCCCTTGAAGGCCAAAAATAAGAAAGAACGATGCACATTTGAAATCGAATCCAAACAAATCATGGTGCAGGTTACGGCGGGGTCGATGTGGGACCAAGATGAAGAGGAGGATGACACGGCGGACGACGCCAAGCCGGTGGAGAAGTACCTGGTCAAGTGGAGCGACATGAGCTATCTCCACGTGTCGTGGGAGACCGCGGGGGACCTTATCGAGCTCACGACGTCTCACGTCAAGTCGCAGGTGGGTGGTGTCGTCGTGGGACAAGGGGTAACGTGGTGTGTGGGTTTTTGCCGCTTCGCGTTCTCCCGGTATTTTTTAGACGCCGATGTGTGTGGAGTCTTTTTTTGTTTGGCGCGTTGTGTGTATTGCGTTGTTGGCTTTTGTGGTAGCCTCATGTTGTTGTTGTTGTTGTTATATCGGGGATCCAGTGTCGGGCTCGGACAGAAAAAGGAGCGGTTAGGAGGTGCGGCACACTCGAAGCACCATTCATGGCACACTGGCACACATGACGCTCGGTTCTTTTTTGTCTTTTGGAAGATATATCCTCCTTCTTATCTTGTCTTTCCCGTTCCTCTCACCCCCCTCGCCGCCGCTATCCTGTGCGCATCATCCATACCCCCCCCCCGTGCAGCTCAACCGTTTCCGGGACAGGGAGTTCGGCATCGAGCTGGAGATGGAGCGCGGGGACGGCGAGTTCTTCGACCCGTCCCTGGTGCAGCTGGAGCGCGTCCTGGACGTGGACGAGGTGGAGGGGGAGGAGACCCGTCTGCTGGTGAAGTGGGTGGGGGCCCCGTACTCTGCGTGCACGTACGAGCTGGTGAAAGACCTGGACAACGCTGGGCAGGTGTGCATGTGATGCGTTGTTGCACGCATATGTTTTGTTTGTTTGTTTGTTTGTTTGTTAGGGTGTGCCTTTTATGTGACTTTTTGGTTTAGTAACGGTGGGAATGTTGGGCTTGCGTCCTGGTGCACCGGACGAGACGGGATGGGATGGTGGGATGGAAGGAGTTGATCCAGGCGACCGCGGGTTGGGGCTTGGGGGGCTCGCACGTGGCAGAATCTGGACAACACGGAGCAGGGAGTGGAAGTATTGTAGTTGCTGCTTGTCTTTCTTTTGTTGGGGCCTGAGGTCTACTCGTTTTGAACCGTGTTGCGTTCTCAGCGGCGCTGGAGACTGAGGACGCCTTTTCGTTAGGATCAGCCGGTTTGCGCGGTCGATGCATTTAAATATTGACACACATATTTGTGCGGATTAGAAAAATCCTCTTGAAAGCATGGTCACACATCCATACACACACACGCACCCGGTTTGCGCGGTCGATGCTAGAATTTTTGAGCCTCTGGAAGTTTGGTCACATGCCAACACAAACAAATACTTGAACAGTTTTTTTTTGCGTTTTGCCACAGGAGTACGAGGAGGCCGTGGAGGCGTACAAGCGGCGGGAAGACATTAAGAGCCTCAAGAACCTGAAGGCCACGCGGAGTATATCGGACGGGGCCCCCGACCTCGACAAGGAGCCACCCGTATTCAAGAACGGGGGATCTCTGCGGGACTACCAGAGAGAGGTGGGTGCGTGGTTGCCCGACAACCGACTTTCCCGGGTACCCGGGCTTGTGGGATTTGGTTTGCCGGGTTTGGTGTGCTGGGTTTGGTTTTTACCGGATTTGGTTGACCGGATTTTGGTTTGCCGGGTACCCGCGCTCTCTTCTGAGTTTTTGCGTTGTTTAGGGGTTGGTTGGTCCGCGCCGTGGACGTGGGCGTGCGTTTCTTTCTCTTCTGTCAGCGTTCGATCGATCGCACTGTTGTAGGCGGCTGACGTGACCGGTAGCGGTAGCGAATTGGCGTGAGAGTGTGGTATGCAATACGGCGAGGGACAAGCGAAAGCATGCGCGTTGGGAGGGGCTGGGTTTGTTGATGGGGATCTGGGTGGGCATGATCGGCGTTGGGGCGTTGGGGTGTAGTGATGAAGTGATGAGGCATCGACGACGAACACGATGGGGTTTCCGAACTTTGATGGCTTGGCATGTTTGATGGCTGGCTGCCTCGGGGCGCGGTACGGGCAGAGGTCGGCACGGCTGAAGAAGATGGCACACGAGTACTGGTACCTTTGTTTTTCTCCTTAGGGCGGTTTATGTTCTGGACACTACTGTCTACGTTGGGGTCGGAGGTGATGCGGCCTTTCACCGACCATCAAGAGAGCGGTCGAGCTTTTTGAGTCATGCTTGTTACTGACGCTCTCTTCTTTGGTTGCGTTTCGCCCCCTCTCCCCCCCCCTTCTTTTCTTTCAACTTGTTTTTTCGTGGCTCTGGCGTATGCATTCGTCTGAACCGAAACGATTGTGGCTTCATCGGGGCTACAGGGGGTCCGGTGGATGGTATACAACTGGCTGCAGGGGCGCGGGAGCATTCTGGCAGACGAGATGGGGCTCGGGAAGACCCTTCAGGTAGGATCTCCCCCGCCCTATTTGTCTGTCGTGTGTAGGTGCGTGTGTTGCGTGTTTTTTCGTTGACCACCATAGGTTGTTGTAACACCATCCTGAAAACGACAGACGCGAATGCCGACGAAGCGGTAAATCTTGAGTGAAGGCCCCAAGCTTTTGGTTGGTGGAACAACTGATCCGATTTCCGTCCAGTGCCTCACCTCTCAAGAGGCATGAGACGGATTGCTATGATCACGAACTTGCCCGACTCCTTCCAAGCATAGTTCCGGGTCTTACCCCGCCCCCCGCCCCCCGCCCCCCCGTCCCCTGGCGCTACAATACGCGCTTGGTGATGTGAGAGCTTGGTCCGCTGAGAAGAACCCGGCGTGCTCCGTCCCGGCTCTGTAGGCGTGCAAGTAAATTGTCTAACGACTACGGCATGCACGACTATGAGTACAACCCCCCCACCCCGACCCCCCCCCCGCCCCTCCCGGCCTCCTCTCTGTAGACGGTAACGTTCCTGTCCATACTGCACAACGACTACGGGAAGCGTGGGCCTTTCCTGGTGATTGCCCCGCTGTCCACCGTGACCCACTGGCAGAGGGAGTTCCAGACGTGGTCCGACATGAACACCATCGTCTTCCACGGGGATCAGGTAGGAGAGATAAGAAATGGCCAATTTTTTGTGTAGCCGTTGGATGCTGTTGCTCTGTTCTTGACCAGTCGCAGTTGCCACAAAAGGATGCGTGTATGCCGCGCCCTCACCGACGGAATTACTTTTTTTTGTAGTCGTGGCTCATTTTTGTCTCTTGCATTGTGTTGGCTTTGTGTTGTTTGATTTTGATGGATAGTCGCCTCTTTTTTTCCTTTCTTTTTTTTTTTCCGTCCAGGACGACCGTGAGATTCTGGAGAACTACGAGATGGAGTTCTCGGAGGACATGGAAAAGAAGCCTAAGGACAAGTCCACGATCAAGGTATCTACGGTATCTACGGTATCTACTGCATCTTCCGTTTCTAGCGCATCTAATATATGCAGATGGAGATGGGAATTCGTGACGCAGAAGACGACGTTCGCTGTTTTTCTCGGCAGCGGGGTAGGGTGACTGCTAACGTTTTGGGAGAGGATGCGATTCGGTGGGGCGTATGTTATGGTCTTGGGCGAGGAACAAGGCAGGGATAAAGGATGGGTAGGGCTCTTGGACAGTAGTGTCATTCGGTTATGCTGTTTGTTTGTTTTTTGTCGTGTCGCGGGCAGGAGATTTGTGTGCCGGATTTAAACCATGTTTTTTGTTTTTTTGCCCTGAGCGTGAGTCGCGAAAAGATAACAAAATAGTTGCTCTAGCAATGTGTTTTCTGAACAAGTCAGGGCCTCTAGGGTGGTGTACGATCATAAGTACGTACCAATGTATTGTGGTCTGTTTTGTGGACACGACTTTTAGCTCGATTGTGCTGATTATTTTTTTTTGCTGATTTACTGCGTTCTTGGCACCGGATTTCACTGGAGTCCGGCATTTTCATTCTTTTTGCTGGACGTGAATGCATACGTTTTCTCTTTTTACATTTTCTTGCGGCGATTGATTGCCGAAACGCCCGCCGCCCCTTGCCGAACAAATCGCTGCTTGGCCTCCTTGTGACTTGCTGCCCGGCCGATTTATTTTCTGCTCCCCGCAGGGCCGGCGGCTGTGGAAGTCTACCGTGGTGGTCACTACCCCGGAGCTGTGCATCCGCAAGGAGGTGTCGTCGCTGCTCGGGCGAAAGGTTCGCTGGGACGCGCTTGTGGTGGACGAGGCTCACCGACTCAAGAGCAGCCGCTCCAAGCTCAACGTGAGTTGGGAGGGGGGGGGGGGGGGGGTACTCGTAGTCGTGCATGCCGTAGTCGTTAGACCGTTGATCTCGCATCCCTACAAAGCCGGGAAGGAGCACGCCGGGATCTCACCGGACCAGGCTCTCACATCACGGTGGGGGCGGGGGCGGGGGGGTACTCGTAGTCGTGCATGCCGTAGTCGTTAGACCGTTGACCTCGCATCCCTACAAAGCCGGGAAGGAGCACGCCGGGATCTCAACGGACCAGGCTCTCACGTCACCAAGCGCGAAGCGCCGTGAGTTATTCGGCGAGTCGCATGAAGGGTGCGCTGCTTCCTGCTGAGGGTGTTCGGGATCTTGTGCTTACTTCCTTGCGTACGGATGACAGCGGCGTATGACTTAATTTATTTTCTGGTGCTTTCACTTCCAGAGACAGTTGTAAGCGCTGTGTAAGTGCCTCGAGGGTGCTTGACGATTTAACACAACGTGCGATTATCCCCTTTGCGCGGAGTGAGGGTTCTCGACCCCGCACAACATAATCTACTCGATCACCACTCATGGTTACCGCAAAAAAAAAAAAAGGCAAAAAAACAAGCGGTAACCTGGTTGCCGAGCTCACAAAGTGATCGGCTTGTTTTACAACATCGCTGCCAAGCGACGAAAACCCAACCCCGATGGCAAACATCGTTGCGCTACGGGGGGGGGGGGGGGGG